CTCACTTGCAATTCAACCCAGTAATTCTCACGGCATTTCGTGTTACGGTACGTCCACACTGCAGCTTTTCAAAACTCTTGAAAATCTTGGAGCTGGGCGTGTCTGAAAGCTTGGGGATTTTTTGCGAGCAACGAGACCAACAACCAATCACATGAATCTCCCGCCCCCGACATATAAAGCAAAAAAACCCGGGGATTTTATGCGAGCAATATATATATATATAAACTCCCCAAACAGGCGAAAACCTACCAGTTTCACCCACTGTCTCTGCCACCTCCCTCCATGCCTGGTTCCTCCGGTTTGTATCCCGTTAATAGTTCTGGTCGTAAAGAACCGGGGGATTTGCTACCGTAATTTCTCGTTTGGAATATGAGGAAATGAACTGCGGTCTGGCTCTCCTTGCTTACACGCGGTTTGATTGGCTAGCGCTTCTACTGTCAGATTTGCATAAATGGGATTTGATTGGCTGACGCTTCCAGCTCAGCTTCAAAAGTAGAACATTGCTCAACTTTTGAATCCTGAAAATCCTGGAAATCTTCGCTTCGCTCCCCCACAATGCAGTTTGGCGACAAGCGAGGCAAAGTGACGTCATCCCCATTCAAAGTCAATGGGCAGAGAAGCGTTGGAAGCGGTTGAAGATTTGTTTAAAGCTGCAGTGTGGACGTACCGTTATAGTCACGAAATATAATCTATTGATTCGACACAGAACGATTTTAAAAGCAATGTATTTTGGTAGTATTATTATTACATTACATTGCATTTAGCTGACGCTTTTATCCAAAGCGACTTACAATAAGTACATTCGACCAGGAAGACACAACCTTGAAGAAAACAGAATCATATAAGTACATCAGGTTTCATAGAGCCAAACATTTCAAGTGCTACTCAACTGGCTTTAGATAAGCCAGTCCTTTATTAGTATAAAAGTGCTTCGTTAATAGTTCTATCGCTCGAAGTGGAGTCGAAAGAGATGAGTTTTCAGTTTGCGCCGGAAGATGTGCAAGCTATCTGCCGTCCTGATGTCAATGGGGAGCTCATTCCACCATCCTGGAGCCAGGACAGCAAACCCACGTGTTTTCGCCGATGGGAACTTGGGTCCCCCTCGCAGCGAGGGTGCAGCGAGTCGTTTGGCTGATGCAGAGCGTAGTGCACGCGCTGGGGTGTACGGTTTAACCATGTCCTGGATGTACGAAGGGCCAGATCCATTCGCAGCATGGTAAGCAAGTACCAGTGTCTTGAAGTGGATTCTAGCAGTTACCGGAAGCCAGTGAAGGGATCGGAGGAGCGGAGTGGTGTGGGAAAATTTAGGAAGGTTGAAGACCAGACGAGCCGTTGCATTCTGGATGAGCTGCAGAGGTCGGATGGCACATGCAGGTAGACCAGCCAGGAGGGAGTTGCAGTAGTCTAGGCGTGAGATGACGAGAGCCTGGACCAGAACCTGAGTCGCTTTCTGAGTCAGCTGGGGACGTATCTTCCTGATGTTGTAAAGCGTGTATCTGCAGCAACGGGTTGTAGCAGCGATGTTTGCAGTGAAGGACAGGTTGTTATCTAGGGTCACACCCAGATTCCTTGCAGTCTGAGTCGGGGAAACAACTGAGGTGCCGATGTTGATTGTTAGGTCAAGAGTGGGACAATCTTTTCCCGGAAGGAAGAGCAGCTCAGTCTTGTCAAGGTTGAGCTTGAGGTGATGAGCAGACATCCACTGAGAGATGTCAGCTAGACAAGCAGAGATGCGTGCGACGACCTGGGTCTCTGAGCGGGGAAAGGACAGAATTAATTTGGTGTCGTCAGCGTAGCAGTGGTAAGAAAAACCATGCGGGCTAATGACTGATCCGAGCGAGTTTGTGTACAGGGAGAAGAGGAGGGGACCAAGAACAGAGCCCTGAGGGACCCCTGTAGTTAATTGACAAGGGTCGGACTCAGACCCTCTCCAAGTCACCCTGTAGGTACGGTCTTTCAGGTATGAGGTGAGGAGGGAAAGTGCAGAGCCTGAAACTCCAAGTTTTTGGAGAGTGCGAAGGAGGATCTGATGATTCACCGTGTCGAATGCAGCAGACAGGTCCAACAGGATGATGACAGAGGAGAGGGATGCAGTTTTGGCAGTGTGCAGTTCCTCCGTCACAGCAATGAGAGCAGTTTCTGTGGAGTGACCTGCCTTGAAACCAGACTGGTGCGGATCCAGAAGGTTGTTCTGATTGAGATAACAGGAGAGTTGTTTAAAGACAGCGCGTTCAAGTGATTTAGACAGGAACGGGAGGAGAGAGACAGGCCTGTAGTTTATAACATCAGATGGGTTGAGAGTGGGTTTCTTTAGGAGAGGGTTTACTATTGCCTCCTTGAGACTGTTTGGAAAGTGACCAGAAGTTAGAGAAGTGTTGATGAAATGGGTGAGAAACGGTAGAATATCAGGAGCGATAGTCTGAAGGAGGTTTGAAGGGATAGGGTCCAGAGGACAGGTGGTAGGGCGGGCAGAGGTAATGAGGGTAAGAAGCTCACTTGGAGAGAGAGGGGAAAAGGAGGTTAGTGTGTTGGTGGAAGGAGGGTCTGGTGACCCAGCGGTGAGTAAAGGTGAGTCAGAAAAAGAAGAGCGAATATCATCAACCTTTTTTTCAAAGTGGGTAACAAAGTCGCTTGACAGAAGTGAGGAGGGGGGAGGGGCTTTTGGAGGGTCCAAGAGGGTGGAGAAGATGGAAAATAGTTTTTTAGGATTGGAATAGGAAGATTGGATCTTATCTTGAAAGAAAGTGCTTTTTGCCTGAGAGATCGAAGCAGAGAAAGAGGAGAGGAGAGCTTGATAGGTTAGGAGGTCGTCACGGTGTTTGGATTTCCACCGTTTCCGCTCTGCTGCCCTAAGGACGGTTCTATTAGCACGCAGTGCATCATTTAGCCAGGGAGCAGGAGGGGACTGACGAGCCTGCCGAGATGTGAGAGGACAGAGAGAGTCCAGAGTGGATGAGAGAGTAGAGAGGAGAGTTTCTGCAGCAGAGTTTGGAGGCAGGAGTTGGAACGAGTCAGAGGAAGGGAGGGCTGAGAGCACCGATGAGGCAAAGGTAGAGGGGGAGAGGGAGCGAAGGTTACGGCGGACAAGTGCAGGATGAGAAGAGATTAGTTTGTTATGTTTGGAAAGGGGTAGAGAGAATTAAATGAAGAAGTGATCGGATGTGTGGAGCGGGTTTACAGAGAGGTTAGAAGTAGTATGTTTCGTGCCTAAACCATATGTAACTTGCTCTATTGAAATCTGTCACATTGACCCGTAGACACATTTTCGTTTGTATTACTGGTTTGGGGGAAGCTCGCGAGTGTGTGTGTGTGTGTTTGCAGAGCTGCCAAGTCTCACCCTTTGAGAGTGAGAGTCACGCAATTTAACCTCTTCACACGCCTCACGCCACACTTGCCATTTCACACGCTTTTCCCCCCCTCTCACTACTTTATAATTATTTTTTTATTTAATGATATATTTCCATAACTTGTTGCTTGAGGCTTGCCGTAGTTCGAGTCAGGGACATGGTGAGCCCGCCATATTCTGCCCCCGATTGGCTGACCGAGATATGTGATAACCAATCATCAGCCCTCGAGGCTAAATCCAACCAACCCAACGAAAGGCACCACGTATACAAACCAATCAGAGGCAGCTTAGGGCGGGTCATTGCGTCTCTATCCTATGAAGAACAACCTAACTCTATGGCGGAGAAATCGAAAAGTAGTTATTCTGAGAGTTATTTCCCTCTGCATTATGAACGTGCATCTAACCCACGGGACCGCGCCGCCCGGCACGTTCAAGTTACGTGTTCAGTACTACATGAGTTTCTCTTTACCCATGGATGCACAATAACAACGGACCATATCGCCTTACTGCCATCCCACGGAGCTGTAATAATGGATATATTGCACATGTTTGCTGTAATTCATCATTTGTAAAATATTATACTACATGGGCTCTATGATGTAAATCTTGTACCGTAAATGTTGTATTAAATAAAGTTAATATTACCGACGTAGATTAACGTTCCTGTAGCTTCTTATTGCACTTGCAATTGTTTTAGTTACTTGTGGGCTACTACATGAATAATCACAGTGACTATCCTTTTACTCCATCACATTTCAAAAAGAAATAGGCTATTGTTATTTTAACTCCACCACAGTAATCCATCATCAGCTTTACTTTTTAGATAAAGTTTTAACTCACAATTGATCATAACAGTCTTCAACATATACATTTTTATATATTACCAAGTGGTTTCATGTACAACCCACACAAGTATCATGCTAAATGAAGCTCTGTTGCTTGGATATCACTAGATCCTGATGTCAGCGTAATATAAAAGTAGGTACATAACGATTGATGTGTAATTTAGCATAATTTACTAGCTAGCCGCTAGCTGCTAACTGCCGCCTCGTTAATATAAATCCAGTACCATGCTGTCATGAACGCGCGGTGCTGTTACGTGTACGCAAATTCACGTGCTTAATGTGAACCAGCTTTTTGGGCGGCGTGGTTAAAGTTGCGCATGCTCTATGAGTGCACATACGGGTACTTCTCAGGCATGCCGGGTAATCTGTGACGTTTCGCTCTCTCAAAAGTTGGGCCATTTTGTCATCATGCGCCATTGAGCAACTCTCATAGGAATGAATGAGGCCCCGCCTCCCACGCTGTATCCAGTTCTTATTATACATCCATGGTATCAGCGCCTCAATAATGCCGTGACTGACATTTTCATCTGAAGCGGGAGGTCAAACGGTAGGTAACCACATTATTTGTACAAATATTTTTATTTTGATGAAGTCAACGGTGGGTCTGACTACGTGAGACTTAACGTTACACAGTCTGCTGGTGAGCAGTGTGGCAGGTTGCTGCGGTGGGTTTAACAACAAACAACCGTGACTAATAGCAGTGTTAGTTAAATCATCACGTATTTGCTTGTGTGAGCTAATGGATACTTACTATGAGCTAAGGGAATTTACAGTACTGTACTGTACCTGTGCTGTTTGCATTTCTGTCTAATAAAATATTCAATCAATCAAACAGTAACATGTAGCTATCTTTTGATCCAGACGATCTGACTGTGGATGTGGGATACTGGTTTAAAGGAAGCACCAATCGTAAAGGTTACCTGACAGGTATGTGCAGTCCAAATGAAATTCAGAAGAGTTAAATTAAATTGAAATTAAAATGTTCCATTCTTGTCATAGAATTCTGTGAGCTCCATGGAAGCGAGTATTTGGAAATACTTATGCACGTTTCCATTCGATGGTTGAGCCTGGAGAGGTGTTTGACTCGTACCCTGCAGCAGTATGAGCCACTGGCCAGCTACTTCAAGTCATCAGGTAGGCATCATATTTCAATGATCCAAATGAACGAACGATTATTATAACAGACTGAAAAGTAAATGTATGTAATATGCACAACCTGTGTTTTTTTTATTCACAGATGAGAAACAACCAAGGTTCAGGAGGCTGTTGGAAGCATTCTCTAACCCAATAACAGAGGTGTACCTGCTCTTCTATCAAGCAACGTTGCCAGTCTTCTCCACCTTCAACCTTCATCTTCCTTCTACATGATGAGGTAAATTGGGAAGGTTGGGATACAGTATGCTAGTAATACAGTATGCTAGTAAGAATGTACTATGTTTGTTCCTTTTTTCATCCTCCGCAAGTTGCTCTCGAAGTTTCTGAAGCCAGCAGCACTGCAGCACCGGGAATTGCATGAAATCCTCTATAAGGACCCATCAAACCAACTGCCAGGTAATCCTCCAAGTTTCACATCAGCAGATGCACATACACTATCCACTCACTGATCTCACTCACATAATCGAATTGATTTTAAAATCCTTTTATTTGTTTTTAAAGCACTAAATGGGCTGGCTCCGGCCTATATAGCTGAACTCCTCCAGCGCTACACCCCAGCCAGAGCGTTAAGGTCTGCTGACCAGCTGCTACTGGTAGTGCCTAAAACCAGGCTAAAAACAAGAGGGCACCGAGCCTTCGCGGCGGCTGGCCCTAGACTCTGGAACACTCTGCCCCTCCATGTGAGGTCGGCCCAGACCCTAGGGGTTTTTAAATCTAAACTAAAAACTCACTTCTTCACCCTGGCCTTCTAATCAGAGCAGAGCACGACTCATGACCCTTCCCTGTGTTTGATTTTTATATTTGATGTTGTAATTTATTGTCTTCTGTTTACATCGGTAGGAATGTGTTATTTATTATCTGCATGTGCAGCACTTTGGCTCGACCGAAAATCGTTTTTAAATGTGCTATAGAAATAAAATTTGATTTGATTTGATTTGATAATACTGTTTGTGTTTGTTAGAGGGCTGCTTGTGCAGACAAGTTATGAGTTTGATAATCTCATCTCATCACACACATAGGACCGCAATGGAAACAAGTCCACAGGACTTTTTAATGTTATCCTTTAGCCCAAATGTGTGACTGTACCTTGTGCTGTTTGCATTTCTGTCTAATAAAGTATTCAATCAATCAATCACTGATGTGATGAAGATACTTAAAGGGGTGCTTTCAAGTTAGTTATTGTGGTTGTTGATGATTGCTAAAGTGACTCAACACCGGTTTTATTCCCAGTCTCATACTGACATGTTGGTGTTGGGAATGAGAACATATTGCATCAATCTTTCTCCAGAATCGCATACAGCACCTTAATGACCTCTGTGACGTTGTTGATTTATTGTGTCTCTCGTAGGAGAAAAGCTGGTGATCGGCTTCACTACTCGAGCTACACTCAACAGGCTCCTTGATGCAGGAGACATTACACCGCAGCAAGTGCAGAGGTTCCAGCAGGCAGCAGTGGCGTTTCTAGTGAGGGCTGTGGAGTATGCCATGAAGAAACTCCCCATGAGAGAGCCCCAGATAAAACATGCCATGTTTCTGGATGTCCAGCAGAGGGTAGAGTGTGGAGTAGAAGACGCCTTGTACTTTGTCGACAGGTTAGTTGGGGTATTAAGACAAGTACATATATCTATAGTGCCAAATCATAACACAAGTTATCTCAATATGCTTAAGTAGAGCAGGTTAACCCTCTGGAGTCTAAGGGTATTTTCTCGATTTTTAGATGTTTTCTTAAATCACCTTTTAAATGTATTTCTTCTAACATGGCACCCCATGTGTAACATATCAAAATGTTCAGGATCATCTCTGGTCTTGCTATATATGCATATTACTCACCTTAGAGCACTGTTTGATGAGATAAGTAGCTCAAAAGATTCAAATCTGACATCTGATTTTCGGAAAATCTTCAAAACTCTTGTGAAAACACAAATTTACTCATGTGATCGAATTGTTTTTGTGTTTTAGATTTGGTTACCAAAGTCCTAGGATCACAAAAGCAGTGAAATATTTGAATTACACTGTATATAAATGTGTTATTCATGTCTAAAATGTAATTCGAATTTTGAGTAAAATAGGTGTTTATCACTCTACTTTCACCACAGCAGGGATTGAGATACATTAGGACTGAATAATGACTACATATTACATACCAAGGTTCATGTGATGTGTACAAATACAAATTGAGCATTCAACCTTTTTTTTTCAACCAACAATTTATTATAAATATGTTTTTTTCAACCAACTATTTATATAAATATAAGAAACTGGAAAATCTAACTATTTACAATATTGAACATCAGAACTTTCAACCAACTATTCATTATAAATGTCAAGACAGTGTCAAGGTATTTGTCTGTCTTCCAAGACAGTGGGTCTGGCTGCTGTGTAGGTGGGGGTGATGGTGCATGAGCTGCTGTGTAGGTGGGGTGTACAAGTGCTATACGAGACCTCCACAAGACCTCCTTGCTGGCTGGGTTGAAGGTGATGGCTGTGGTGGAGCCTTTGTGCTGAGGTGTATCTTGACCTGGTGGCAGCCGCAGATGGAGGTGGAGGCAGCTGTAGTGATGCTGGTCTGCTGGTCCTTGGTGGTGATGGCTCTTGAGCCACGTTAGATCTTGACCTGGGGGCCGGCACAGATGGATGTTGTGGCTGCTGGATAAACGCCGCCTGTGGGCCACTAGGCCCAAACAGCTGTGAAACATCTCTGTAAAACAAATTAAAATGTAGGACAATAATTACAACTAATTTCATTGAAATAAAGTTCAAGTCAATCAATCAATCAATCAATCAATCAATGTTTATTTATATAGCCCAATATCACAAATGTTACATTTGTCTCAGTGGACTTTACAGTTTGTACAAAATATCAGTATGACAATACGACACCCTCTGTCCTTAGACCCTCACATCGTACAAGGAAAAACTTCCGGAGAAAACCCACAGTTTAAAGGGAAAAATGGGAGAAACCTCAGGGAGAGCAACAGAGGAGGGATCCCTCTCCCAGGACGGACATACGTGCAATAGATGCCGTGTGTAAATTGAAAAGATAATACATTTGCAACATAGGTAGTCCAAATGTTTGGAAATGCATGTGTGTATAATAGGAAGATGAATCCACGAGGATATCCATCCAGGACTTATGATCCAGGACCACAGCCACGACTCAAGATCCAGGGCTCGCGATCCAGGACAGAGGAGCGCAGGATCATCCATGACTCCGGATCCCGGCGTATATAGACACCAAAAAGAAAGACATTTGGGGAAGCTGGTTTAATCGGAACATGAGAGTACACAGGTATAGACAGAGAGAAGGAAGAAGTAAGATGTCCCCCGACAAACTAAGCCTATATCAGCAAAACTAGGGGCTGAATCTAATCAGCCCTAACTATAAGCTTTATCAAAAAGGAAGGTCTTAAGCGCACTCTTAAAAACGGATAGGGTGTCTGCCGCCCGAACACAAACTGGAAGCTGATTCCACAAATGTGGAGCTTGATAAGAAAAGGCTCTGGCTCCCATTGTACTTTTAGAGACTCTAGGAACAACCAACAACCCTGCATTCTTGGAACGCAATGCCCTAGTAGGACAGTAGGGTATAATGAGTTCTTTAAGGTAAGATGGCGCCTGCCCATTAAGGGCTTTGTAGGCGAGAAGAAGAATTTTAAATTCTATCCTGTGTTCTATAGGGAGCCAGTGTAAGGCAGCCAGAACAGGAGCAATGTGGTCCCTTTTCCTAACTCTGGTTAGTACACGAGCCGCAGCATTTTGAATCAGCTGAAGCGACTTGACTGACTTCTTGGTACACCCTGATAATAAAGAGTTACAATAATCCAGCCTTGAAGTAACAAATGCATGGACTAGTTTCTCTGCATCGTTTTGAGGCAAGATATGCCTGATTTTTGCAATGTTACGTAGATGGAAGTAGGCGGTCCTTGAAATTGATTTTATGTGGGCGTTAAAGGATAAATCCTGATCAAATATAACACCAAGATTCCTTACAGTCTCACTGGAGGCCAAATTAATGCCATCCATAGTTAGTATATCCTTAGATAATTTGTTTCGTAGATTCTTCGGGCCAAGTACAATAACTTCAGTTTTGGTCGTGTTTAACATCAAAAAGTTTAAGGTCATCCACGTTTTTAAGTCCTTAAGGCAGTCTTGAATTTTATTTAGATGATTAATTTCATCAGGCTTGATTGATAAATATAGTTGAGTATCATCCGCATAACAATGAAAGTTTACAGAATGATTCCTTATAATATTGCCTAACGGAAGCATATATAATGTGAACAAAATAGGTCCGAGCACTGAGCCCTGTGGCACTCCATGGCTAACTTTGGTTTGCGTGGAAGATTCATCATTGACACGTACAAACTGAGAGCGTTCAGATAGATAGGACCTAAACCAGTCTAAAGCAGTTCCCTGTATGCCAACTAAGTGCTCTAGTCTTTGCAATAAGATATCATGGTCGATAGTATCAAATGCAGCACTGAGATCGAGCAAAACAAGAATAGAGACACGTCCCTTGTCAGAGGCTATTAGAATGTCATTTGTGACTTTAACCAGAGCTGTCTCTGTGCTATGATGTGTTCTAAAGCCAGACTGAAAAGCTTCAAATAAATCATTGTTTTTTAAGTAATCGCACAACTGTTTTGCGACCGCTTTCTCAAGAATTTTTGAGAGGAACGGAAGATTGGAAATAGGTCTATAATTGGCTAAAACCTCTGGATCGAGGTTGTGCTTTTTAAGAAGCGGTTTTATCACTGCTACTTTGAATGATTGTGGAACATAGCCTGATAATAAAGACATATTCATAATATTTAATAAATAAGTGCTAATTAATGGAAAAACTTCCTTCAACAGCTTAGTTGGAATTGGGTCTAACATGCACGTTGATGGTTTAGAAGAGAGAATCATTGAATTTAATTGTTCAAGGTTTATGGCTGAAAAGCATTCTAGTTTACTATCTAATGTATTATTAGAACTTACGTTTCCGGGAGCTGTTGATAACACTATACTGGTCAAAGGCAAGAGGTCATTAATTTTGTTTCTAAGAGTAACAATTTTATCGTTAAAAAAGCACATCAAATCATTACTACTGAGTGCTATGGGAATAGAAGGCTCAATCGAGCTGTGGCTCTCTGTCAGCCTGGCTACAGTGCTGAAAAGAAATCTTGCATTATTCTTATTCTCATCTATTAAT